CACACACACACACACACACACACACACGAATCAGGTCCACAAGGCGCGGCTCGCGGATGGCAGGGAGGTGGCCGTTAAGATTCAGTACCCTGGCCTCAGGTGCGCCACCCACCGCCACAGCAGCTGCTGCGCCACCACCCTCCCTTGCCTTCCCCTCCGAAACCCCTTTGTACAAGCACACCGCCCTGCTCTGGATTCCTTACCCTCCCTCTCTTCCCGGTTACGCCCCGTTAACGCCCCAATTGCACCCCGCTCACGCCCCGGTTACACCCCGGTCACGCTGCACCCCCCAGGGGTGCCGCTGATGCCGACCTCACCACCCTGTCGCTGCTGTCAAACCTGGCGCGGATGGCGTTCCCCGAGTTTGGCTTTGGCTGGCTGTACACGGAGCTGCGCCACAAGCTGGAGGAGGAGCTGGGTGGGTTCCACAGCCATTTGACCGCCGTTTGACCGCCGTTTGACTTCCGTTTGATAAACGTTTTTGACCGCAACTCAGACCCATGCGTGTTGTTTAGACTCTCTGTGCCGGGGACGTTCGTCATTGACGGATGGCCGATTGACTGCGCACGACGACGCGCAGAGGCTTGTGCTTGGCTTGCGGTACGCATGTGTGCACAGCTGTGCTCCAACGCCTGACGGCCCCGCGCCCTGATTCCGCCCGGCGTGCCGCGCCGCCCGCAGACTTTTCAGTGGAGGTGGTGCACTCCACGCGGCTCAAGGCGCTGCTGCAGGGGCAGCACGGGGTGGTGGTGCCGCGCATACACCTGCCCCTCTGCACGTCCAAGGTGCGCCCACACAACGGGGCGGTCCCGCGTGCGCGCAGCGCTACCGCGGTGCTTGGTACCAAAAATAAATCGCGCGCCCCTGGCTGGGCGCGGGGGCGGCAGTCGGGCCGCAGCTGGCGAGACAGGGCCCCCCGCCCCTGCGCGCCCGCCGGAAGCCAGGGGGCCTTGAGCTGGCCGTCGCTCACCCCTGGACACTGGTTCCGGCAGGCGGCAGTTTGAGATCGCCCCTGCGTTTGTGCCCCTTGATGACCCTTAGATATCACAACCCTTGTGTCGGCCCCCTTGCATTCTGCTCACGCCGCATTGTGGTGCTCAGCGTCCTCTCTGCGTCCGCCCAACCACAACCCGTCGACACACCCAACATGCACAACAAAACCCCCGTCGATTATTCCATCAAAAATACAAGCAATAAAAACCATGTTTCGTCACTCAACAACATCGCATCTGACTCATAAACAACAAAACACATGAGACCTGAGCTGATTTCACCCCCTCAACTACCACATTCCCAGGTGCTTGTGATGGAGTGGATATCGGGGCACAAGGTCAACGACGTGAGGGCGCTCAGGCGCGCCCGCATCAGCGCACACGCAGTCGGGGTCAAGGTGCGGGCGGGGCCCCTGGGCCCTGGGCGCGGCAGCGGGGCAGCCGGGCGGGGGGCTTGGGGTGTGGCACGGCGGGGTGCCACAGTTGCCAGCGGAATTCGGCTGTTGATGGTGATGAACTGCTCACCAATAGCACCAGCCAGCCGCAGACTGACAGGTTTGTGTGTGCATGCGCGCACACACACGCGCGCACGCACGCACGCAATACCCACACACGCGTGCGCGAACACATGCACGCACTCACTTTCCCTCCCTTTGACGCACACGCACACGCACACGCACACGCCCACGCACGCACACGCACGCACGCGCTCACACACACAATACCAATAATCTCCCCCGCCAGGTGGAGGCCGCGTTTGCCGAAATGACCTTTGTGCACGGGTACCTGCATGCCGACCCGCACCCCGGCAACATCATGGTCCGCGCCAAGGGTGAGGATACAGGGGAAGCATGCGTGTGTGGGAGCGTGCGCGTGTAGACGCGTGCGTGTGCATGTGACAGTGCGTTTGTTCGTGTACGTTTGTGAGTGAGCGTGTGGATGTGTGCTTATGTGTGTGTGTGTGTGTGTGTGTGTGTGGGTGTGTGCGTGCGTGTGTGTGTGCATTATGAAGGGCAGTGAGAGTCCTGCCAAGGGCGGGCGCGACCAACTCACGCGGCCTAGATAGGCGCCGCTCTCAACTCGGCGCGACCGCTGAGCGGCTTGACCGTTGGCGCGGCGAGATCATTCCGCAAGCGACCCGGACGCGCCTGGACGTCCCCGAACGCCCGCCGCCTCTCTTGACCCCCCTCCTGCGCGCGCAGGGCGGCGCGGGCTGGGCAGCTACGTGGGCAGCGGCTCATGGCAGCCCTTCGAGGTGGGTGCATCGGGGGTGCAAGGGTGGGGGAGCGCGGAATAGATGTGTGTGTGCGTGTGTGAGTGTGTGTGTGTGTGTGTGTGTGAGTGTGTGTGTGTGTGTGTGTCGGGATGAGCGTGCTCCTTGCAGCCCTTTGATGTGGGGGCATTGGGGAGAGGGAGAGGGAGGAACTTCGGCGGGGTGTACGCTGTACACGCCAGTTTTGCCGGCGGCACACGCCAGTTTTGCCGGCGGCGCGCGCCGACCGCGGCGCCGCCGGCCAGGGGGCGGCCGCGGGCGGTGTGCATCCGAAGGCTAGCCGCTCCGGCCGGCGAGCCTGCGTGCGCGCGGAGCCGCCGGCCGCACGCGGCCTTGTGCGATGCGCTTTGGCTTGCGCCGTGCCGACGCGCCGCGGCGCGCTGACGCCGCCCCGCGAATGCGACTCCCCCCTCCTTGCGATGCATGCTAGCCCAGGGTTCATTCTCAACCAAACCTAAACCCCTCAATCCTAAACCTCTGTGCAGGTGGTCCTGCTGGACCACGGGTGCTACCTGAAGCTGCAGGAGGCCACGCGCCGCACCTACTGCCGCCTGTGGTGCTCCCTCTTTGCCGGCGACCGCGCCGGCGCGGCCGCGGCGGCGATCGAGCTCGGGGGGCAGCGGGCCGGGCAGATCCTGCCCATCATTCTCTCACAGCGCGCGCGCACCAAGTGGGTGCTTTGTCGTGGGTTGGATTTTTGGGAGGGGCTTCGAGGCGGGTGGGGGTGAGGACGACGAAAATGATGCTGCGCGGCCCGAGGCGCCGGCCTCGCGAATGTTTCGGGCGCCAACGCGACGCCGACGAGCAGCCAGTGACGGCTGATGCCGCTCGCCTCCTCTGCAGCTGCAGCAGCTCCGGAGTCACGTTTGGCCGCCTTTCGGGCCCCGCGGCCGACCCTCGCCTGGCGCCTCTTTGGCCCCGGCCCCGCCCCCGCAC